AAAATGCATGAATAGATTTAGAGGTCCTTAAACATGTCACAAGCATGTTAGAACCTCAAAAGTTAGGCCCATCAGTCCAAAAACTCAAGTTTGCTCAATTTGAACTTCATGTATTTGCTCAAAATTTCCCAACTTGCACCAATCATAACTCTCAATTTTCATCATTTGAAGGTGATCTTATATTTTTTGGAAAGCTCGAGATGTCCTATACAATCTCTATTTTGATCTTTTTTGCATTTGAAAGCTTTATCTTGATGTAAGTTGTCTTGACAAAAAGTGTTTTTTGTTGACTTTTGAAATGACCTATAATATATTGGCTCATATCTCTCAAATGATGCATTTTTTAGACTTGGGCATAGAGATACGAAATTGTAGAGAACTGAATTTTCTTCAAAATGAGCTTTGGTTGGGGGAAAGTTGATGAAGCATGTGAAAGTTATGCTTGGTCAAAGTTCAGTTGACTTTTTCTTAAGAAAACCCTAATTTGATAACTTTTGACTTTTGATGATTTAAGAGTTTTCTTGATGAATCATGATCAACCCTTTATCAAATGATGAATCATGATAAACCCTTTATCAAAATTCAGTTGACTTTTCCTTAAGAAAACCCTAATTTGACAACTTTTGACTTTTGATAATTTGAGAGTTTTCTTGATGAGTCATGATCAACCCATTATTAAATGATGAATATGACTTTGAAACCTTTATGTTGACCAAAAATATTGAGGTTTGACTGTATGTTGACCACAGTTGACTTTTTGTCCAATACAGTTGATTTCCAGCCATCTGAACAATTGACTGGGCAAACTTGTGATGCAAGGCTTGAAACTTGGTATGAGCATTCTTGGAATATAAGAAACCATGAAATCCATTTGAGACCTTAGAAACCCAAATTTCCTTGAGAAACACAAAACCCTAGTTGTAGGTTTATTGCTTAGGAGGAAAATTTGTCTGATCAATTCTTGAGCAACCTTGAACAATTGAAAATCCTTGAAGTATGAGAAGATATCTCGAAGAAAAATGAAAGGGCACACATATAAATTTAATACTTTATTTCATACATAATTTAAATTTTAATACATGAACTTGTAAATATATTATTCAAAATGCATCACACATTAAATTTATTTGATGATATAACTCACATATTGAATATATTTAATTTTTTTTTAATTATTAACGATACTTGATACATGTTGATAATAAATGTTCAAATAAAATTCATATATTTTGTCATTTTGATATATTTATTTTAAAATAAATATTTTATTAAATATAAAATAAATATTAATATGTCTTGTAAATATAATTAATTATAAAAATTTTGTAAGTTAAAAATAGCGTTCCTTGTAATTATAGTTAATTGTAAAATTTTATTTAAACGTTTATTTTCCTTTTAATCTTGTCAAATTATTTATTTTTTAATATTTATGGGTGTGAATTTGTTACAACATTTAAATCACATTCCTTTGATACTATATAAATAAAAATCTCTTTTACATTTAAGTCAAATTATTTTTAAATAAATATTCGAACAAAAATTTCTACAAAAAATCAATTCACATTTTATGGATTTTAATCATTTTAAGAACATTTTAATTTAAAAATGTGATTTGAAAAAAATCATGCAAAGCTTTTATAAATCACACCAGTTTTGTAACAAATGTGTGCATTGGTGTTTTATGGGTATTGGTGATACGGATAGAGCAAATTGTTCCATGTATAGAGCATTGAGAGGAGAGAAGGAGCAGGTAGATTGGAAGAAGATATTCTATGCATAAAAACCAAAATACTCATGTTAATGCTAGTACTTTATGCATAGAGTATAATAGTAGATCAAATTGTGGTTTTGTAGTAATTGTCTTAGTTTGTAAGCTCTGTCTGGATCCATTTAGGATCAGATGTATTAACTATTTTTTGGAAATGAAAGTATTTGATTCCAAAAAAAAAAGAAATTTAGTATCTTAAGAAGTTTGAATTATTTTAGAATATAGAATAAGATTTATAGTAGAATTTAGGTTAGGGGAAACAATATTGCTTAAGGATAGCACAAAGAATACACTTATTTTATAAATAAATACATAAAAGGCGTGAAAAAAATGCCAAGGAGCATTACAAATAAAGTTCATGTGTCCGAAATTGGCGGAACAATGGATGTCTTCACCATTAATAACAGGTTGCACTCATTACAAGTGAGATCCCATCAGGTGAAAAGGTGGAGTATCTAATAAAACTTATCAATAATAACAATGCAAGTGGAAGTCTTAAGTTCAAAATGAGCTAAAATCTAAGAGCAAGATAGTTAATTCCCCTTTTTGAAATTGAAAAATGAATTCTTGGACCTTAGGATAAGATAATCAAACTAGGATCTAGGCTAAATATGTTAACTGAAGAGTTCCAGCATGAACATACAGTATCAGGAAGCACTCACTCACGCACTGACAGAACTAATTTGTAAAAAGACTAATTTGTGCCAATTTTTGAATGTGATCCCCTTAGATAGATTTTGAGTTATACATGGAATGTGCTGCTAAATTAAGAGATGGATGTGAGTAAAAAAAATTTTTCTTATATTATATGTCGCATCACCTGAGGACATGTAATGATTCAAGTGTGGGGTGTGATAACTCACATTTTGTGAGTTATTATAGCCGTTAATACTTGGATTCATATTTTTAATTTAATGATTTACTAGTTTAAATTAATGCATTTTGATGTGTTTGAGTAGATTATAAAGAGCACAACAGGTGCTCTCTTTTGTGAATTTTTATATGTTTGTTACTTGTGCAGAGATGACTTCTAGTGAGTTCTGATGCGACAGTTCTGAAATAGAATTTTAACTCCAATTGAAAGTGGAGAGTTGGATGCAATGGAAGTTATAAAGAGTGGACATTCATAGTTTTAGGGATTATGTGGCACCAACCAGCAGGATGAAATGCATTTGAATCAATAACAAAAGGGTAAAATTAAGGTGCTAGAGGATAAAACTCTACACCATAGTACAACCACTACATCACCTAGCTTGTTCCCTGCTACAAAGGACTGTTTCAAGACACTGCCTCCTGCAGACCTGCGCCACTAGCCTGCCAGAAAACACTTTGTAACTCACATGTTGATTGTACTCGACTTTGCAATGGTATGAAAAGGAAGCATTGAAGGGAAAATTGTTGATTCCTTTGGGTCAGAATTCACGAATATCCAAAAGCCCATGATCCAAGACACCATAAAAACCCTAGATTGAGGTGACTGTAAAAAGACCTCTTGGAGGAAATACAAGAAATTTCAGTAATTCAAAGAGAGAAACACTTAGTAAAATTTGGTGAATAGAGCTGGCTGAACAAAGTGGAGAACTTCTTCTCATTATCTCAAGTGTATGCTACCAGTATCTGACGTGACAAAGATCGTCTCTTGTGGATTGAAGATTGCAAGAAGATGAAGAATTTATTCTTAGGTTTTAATTTCTTTTTCATTATGTGTTTAAGAATGTCTAGCTTAGGATCCAGTATTGATGAATGTACTAAGCTCATCATGAGTTAAAACCTTTTATGTTGAGCAATGTGGAGTTAATATGAAATAGTTGTTTGTGTTAAATGATGTGTTATTAGTACTTTATTTTATCATGCGTTAAAATACTAGAAGTTTGCATCTTTGAATGATCAATTTAGGAAAAGATACAATTTTGTTATTGTGAGAAATCCAACAACAAGTGGATTTCATAATAAAAGTGATTGAAAATAGTAGGATAGAGATATTCACTATATTAGCTACTTTAGACGTAAAAAGCTACAATCATAGAGAACATTCGGAATAAAACCAGACATGCACTAAAGTTACAAGCGAGGCTTGGAGATTTGTTTCCTTGCTTTACCGTATATGTTTTTTATATTGTAGAAATGCACCATAAGATTATTTTCTGATCTTTTCTGACACGACATAACACATCACATACACACAATAGACAAGTCATATTATTGGATCATCATCCAATATATTCTCCAATATTGATTTCATTTACTCTTGCCAAAGTATATATTCCTATCATTGTTGGCTTTAAAAACTGAACCTATAACCACCATTAATAACTATCATTATTTTTGCTCATACTCGTTTATAAAAGAAAGTTTTACAAATAAATTTAAGTTATTTTCCACTCCATGTGGATTCGGCATTCTTACTATCTATCACTTTCTACTTTAAAATACATGTATTTTTGCATGTGACGTCATACGTTTTCAAACAATACCTATTGAGTGAGAATCATACCTAAGCAATATGTTATATATGTGGCGGGTGTCTGATGAGAGCTAGTGTTGTATCGCTCTATAGTGGATCTTTATAAATAAATCATTATACTAAACACTTGCTTAATTCAACCTTTAAGAAAAACTTTTAAAAATATAAGTTTTCCCATAAGCACAAAGGCCGTTCAACCCCGATTCGAAGAAGAAGACCAGAAACTATAAACCAACTCGAGAATGGCGAGGTAAGACACCCAATGGTTATTAAACCAAAAAAAATTAGGATACCGCAAGTGATAATCATACTTTAAAAATGATAGGATAGTGGTCAAAGAGAGACATATTTGAGGAGACTAGAAATAAATCAATGAAATAAACAAGAACTTTGTTTGTTGCACTAAGTTGACAACCGATCAAAATTTCTTAATCTAATCTAGTAATTATAAGGACATTGACATCAATCGACTATTAAATTACGTTTGTCGCAAACAATTTGTCATTGTCGGAAAAAGTTTTACATTTTCATCTATGCTAGCTGCTACCTAATTCTTGATATCATCGAACTTGAATAACTTCCTTCACGGCATTACCCCAATTGAGATTCCTCCACGGAATTACCACAACTAAGATTAATCCACATCAAATGTTAATCTAAGATTATTTAATATTTCATGAAAATAGTTAAGATTATAGTATAAATTTCCAACTTATTCTATAGTATAAGAAGATACCTAGGGGTCCAATACAAGTGGTGAAGGATACAATGGAGAACACATCAAGAATGAAGCAAAAACAAAAAGAACTAGTGTTGGAATTTAGAACACCTCAACATCCATCTTTGGGCACAAATTATTGGGGAGGTGCATCACCTTTATTAGCAAGGAATATACCCGAGGAATCACTTGAACAAAGGTATGCAAAACTCAACACAATCCGAACACACGACGAGATCTTTCCCGCGGATTCAAATAACCCGTATTCTCTCAAGCAAAAATACAGTGTCAAGAGATCATACGACAAAGGCGTCGCACGAGTCAAAAGTCTAGTTGTTTTCAAATTATTATTTATACGGAAAGAGAAGAAGGTAATTATGTTAGATTCTAATTCGAAGAGGATGTGGCTTCCAAGATTGGATCGAAAAAATAGGTGGCCACAGGGTTGGAGTTGATTTAATTTGTTGCTACTATTTTGTGATCTGAAAATGCTATATGAATGATAAGAGGTTGTTTCATGCATGTAATAATAGTATAACTTTTTTTTCTTCTAATTAATGGTTATTAATTGGGTCCTACTTCATTACCCATCTTAAAATGTTGGGTAACTTTACCTACTTGACATGTCTTACATCTTACATAGATTGGTTATTACTTATATAATTAATTATATCATTCGTGCCATCACCATTTTTGAAGATTGAAGATTCTCCATCGTTCTCTTCTGAATTTTGTTTAGTATCGATTACAAACAATACTCCTTGTTCTCTACTTTCAATCATGTAAGTTTTATCTTGTCTTCTGAATTAAATTTCAAATTTCACAAATTTCTGTCATTTTTTTCTCATGATTTTTAGGATTTTAAACTCCTTTGATTAATTCATAATTGTTTTCATGGATATGTTGTAGTTTTATATTTTACTTTGAACAACTTTTGTGTCAGATTAAATATTATATACAATTAGAAGCACTTGGCCAAAGAGTTGATTTGAATCAAAGATCACAAAGATGAACATGTCCAAAGGATTTAGGGATTTAATTTATTTGAATCAATTAGATGCACAACAAAATGATTATACTGCATCTTGTTGATTGAACATTTAACCATGCCAGAGAATTGAGAAACTATTATTTTTTTGTTCATCGATTATTTATTTCACACTATCAAAGTACCCGTTATTAGTTGAAACATTCAATTTAAGTATATTTTCATCTTGCAATTTCCACTTACCTGAAATAGAAAAACAAAACCATCATGTTTTAAAATTAAAATGACCTTTTAGGCTTTTACCTCTCCCTTTTTATCATCTCCTATTCATTTTCCATTTATTGGTCCTTTTACTTCAATTTTAGCTCAATTTTTATGTCTTTCTTTGATAATATGTTATTTTTCTGGTTTGGGGTGCATCTTGCGAATTTTTTTTTATAATAATCAGGTATTAAAAAAAATTCGCAAATAACCACGTTTCGGAAAAAATTACGCAAATAACCATATTTCGGATAACTCCCCAAAGGAGAAGCCATCTCACTTGGCGCCTCCACCTAGGGTTTTGCCCTAGGCGCCATCTCACTTGGCGCCTCCTCTCACTTTTAGCCAAGTGAGATGGCGCATGCACTTTAAAAGTAAGAGGAGGCGCCATCTCACTTGACTCCTAGGGCAAAACTAGGGCAAATGTTGTTTTTATATATAATTTGTCCGTTTCTCCATCACTTCTCACACTTTCTCGCACTGTGTTATTATTTTTTACTCTGTTATTTACGTCATGACATCGCCCATGATTTTTACCAGAGATGGTTACGTTATCTTCTCCGCCACGAAACCTGCGATGAAAATGAAATTCTGTCACATTCACTCCATGGAGCGTTTGAAGCGGGAGTTGATGTGATGGCTAGATGGAGACATTGCGGATGGGGAAAAATTCGAAGGATCCAGCGAAGACGAACAACAACCTCACATGCGACAGGAAGACCTAATGTATGGTTGGAGGAAGTCAAAACAGACAGCGGTGTAATGTTGATGATGCATGGGTCAGATGAAATTGTGTTAACAGTTGTAATTTCATAGACGGAATATCGTGTATTTTTCTTGTACGCGCAATATTTATTGTAGCAAATACTGTTAACGAAAAACCATAATGTTTACAACATAATTAAGGAAAGATTTTATGTATTGCAGTTTTTATGTGGTCGAGGCAGACGCCCGATTCAGATAACTTTTTGCGATTGTGTCCGACCTGACGGCATAAATCACACTTTCTTTCCATCTTGTCAAGTTCGTCCATTTCTATTGTGATGCGCTTACTTTTGGGACGACCTTTCTTGTTCCTTCGCATTTGGTCATTGTGCCACACTATTTCGTCGTCGTATGCAGGCCAATAATCTGGTTTTGCTACCAAAGGAAAGTTGTTGTTGTAAACGTTGAGCAACGTTTCAGATTTGTAAATGTGTGACAGAAGTTGCAGCGCGTCTTGATGGGTATAAGCACAAGCGGCAATGACATGAGAGCAAGGCATACGAAATGCTTAAAACCTACCACAATCGCACCAACGAGAAGGTAGTATGACCCTATATTCTTGTCTTGGCAGGCCGTCATTATGGTCGATTGTTTCTTTCACAATGAAGTTGTGGTTGTGTCGGTCAAACCGTATAACCATATGAGTGTTGGCTTTGGCACTTTTTGCCTTAATGTACTTCATGCAGCTTTCACTCCATAGTTGTCCAGATTGCAACACCGCATTCCATATTTCACCTCTTTTGGCAAACAACGAAGCCATCCTAAAATACGTAGATTTTACCAATGCAATGATCGGGAGGTTTCGTATGCCTTTGAATACCCCATTCATCGATTCAATAAGATTCGTTGTCATGTGCCTCCATCTTTGGCCATTGTCGTATGACCTAGTCCATTTTTCCACCGGAATATTATCGATCCACCTACCGGCTTCCGGATTTGACAAACGGGTCTCGTTGCGGTAATATTTGAACGTGGGTTGTGTCAATGCATATCCCGCATTCATAATCGCTTTCCTTAGTGCTTTTTCCTTGATCTCCCTCGTGAAATTCTGGACGATATGCCTAACGCAATAGACATGCGTAGAAGGAGGGTCATGCCAACCGTTTGCAGGATTATTATAGGCACTTTCAATAGAGGCATGTCTGTCCGAGATCAAACAGAGATCTGGTTGAGGAGCCACGTGTGTTCGCAGGTTTTTCAGAAAAAAGCTCCAAGCACCACCGGTCTCCCCCTCGACTAGGGCAAAGGCAATGGGGAAAATGTTGTTGTTGCCATCTTGTGCAACTGCCATCAGTAGCGTGCCTTTGTATTTCCCATACAACCAAGTCCCATCAATTTGTATAATTGGTTTGCATGATGCAAACCCTATGATGCAAGGTTGAAATGCCCAAAACACTCGACTGAATATTTCGTTGCCGTTTAGTTGACTACCATCTTGGGCGTATGCTGGCGTTGTTTCCAGAATGTAAACAGTACCCGGAGAATAAGTCTTGAGTGCGTTCAGGTAGCGAGGAAGTTCTTGGTATGACTCTTCCCAGTTTCCATACACCTTTTCAATCGCCTTAGTCTTTGCTAACCACGCCTTACGGTAAGACGGAGTATAGTTAAAAACCATGGTGATGTGGGAGATGATTGTTTTCACCTTCAAAGATGGGTCGTTGCTGACCAGTGGTAAGATTTCTTGACAGATGAGATCGTAATTAAGTTTTCAGTGGTCCTGGGTAGAACTTACACGAGTGTGGGTAGTCATGGAACCTATGACCCAGCAATCACCTCTTAATCTGTATGATGCAGTGAGCTTGAACATACAGTCGGGGTGGACACACTTGATCTTGTACCTTTCTGGGTTGACACGGTCCACCTTAAAATCGACTGAGTTGAGCATGTGGAATTTTTTTATGGCTCTGATGCATTCCTCTCTGTTACAAAACTTGTCCTTCTCTTTTAAGTTTTCATCCGACTGCATATACGGATTGAAAAATAAATCAGTAGACGGTTCATCTCCGCCCATGTTAAAGTTTGTCATGTGCGGAGGTGGTGTGTAGATCTCGTTTGCAGGAATACTAGGTATGCCATCATCGTCGGAATCATCATTCACCATTTCATCAAACTCTAACTCGTCATCTTCTTCTTCTTCATCAACTCCATCTACCTCAGCTTGTTCGTTCTCCAAAGGATCAAACACTTGTGTCACCTGAGGCTCTCGCAGCATAATGTATAACTCAATAGAGTCGTACTCAGAATACACATGGCTGGAAAACATATTCTGGAGATCCTCGTCATCTTGAACCTCAACCTTATAAAAAATTATTTGGTTGTTTCCAAAAAAACTGGATTCTGATAAAATATCTGTGTCATTGGGCCTCGTCCAAGTTTGGCCTCCAATCATTTTTTGAAGTACGAGAAATTGGCTTTCCCGTTTAAAAGAAATCAGATGTTGTCTGTGTCTCTAAACAAAAACCCAGAGGTGGAACAAATGTATGTCTCACCGTTGAATGTGCATTGATGACATATTGGGGTGCAGAGGCCATTGCGTAAGGTTGTTTGAAGGTTTGAAGGTTGGAATGTTTGAAGTTTATGAGTTATTCGAAGGTTTGCATGTTTGAAGTTTATTGATTGTATGAAGGTTTGAAGGTTGTAAGGTTTGAAGGTTTGAATGTTTGAAGTTTATGAGTTATTTGAAGGTTTGTATGTTTGATTGTTTGAAGGTTTGAAGGTTTGATTGTATGAACGTTTCAAGGTTGGAAGGTTTGATAGATTAAGTGAATCAGTGTTATGTAAGACTAAATAGGTCATACTGAATTTGAATTAAGTAAGGATGTAACCCCCAAGGCTGCCAATAGTGTTACATGCATTCAGGCATGGTATCCCAAAGGTTGTCACGTAGCCTGCGCCTACTCCGCAACCAATGACACCTTTTATTCGCCAATAGGGATGGCGACACCTTTCATTTTTGTACTCTTTCGCCAAGTCCAATGGCGCCTCCCTTAATGTCCAATCGTGTTACATGCATGCAGATATGTAACCCCCTAGGCTGCCACCTAGCATGCGCCTAGTCTGCACCTACACTGTAACTTGTAAGTCTCCTCTCATCACCTCCAATAGTGTTACATGCATTCAGGCATGGCATCCCAAAGGCTGTCACGTAGCCTGCGCCTACTCTGCAACCAATGACACCTCTTATTCGCCAATGGGGATGGCGACACCTTTCATTTTTGTACTCTTTCACCAAGTCCAATGTCGCCTCCCTTAATGTCCAATCGTGTTACATGCATGCAGATATGTAACCCCCTAGGCTGCCACCTAGCCTGCGCCTAGTCTGTAAGAGTGACACTTCTCATGCATGCATGTACCAGCTACCACCTCACTTACTGTATGAAATTTTTTGCCTATAAATACAGACCATATCATACTTCTCTCACACCCACACTCGTCTCACTCTCTGCTACGAAGTCTTTCATAATCTCTTACACTTTCTAAGTCTTTCATAATCTCAGACATTTTCAACAATGGGCGATTTTCAGAGGCACAAGTGACAACATTGCTGCATTTGTAAGTTTCTATTTTGGTTATACATTTTTTATACTTCAGGTAATGCTTTGTTCATCTTACTTAATCTTACACCTTTTACATTATTAACTCAGGATACCAAAAGATTCAGGATCCGGTCTCACAACTACCTGGCTTCCGACCCATTTATCGTACCATATCTAGAATACGCAGGTTTCGGACATGTTATAAAGATCTCCAACTGCACAATTGATTCGAAGTTCATTCTTGCAATGTTGGAAAGGTGGAGAACAGAGACCCATACATTTCACCTACCAATAGGTGAATGTACCGTCACGCTAGAGGATGTGTACATATTACTGGGTCTCTCTGTCGACGGTAAGGCCGTTAACGGGTCAGTTCAACAACCCAATTCTCAGTGTGAAGAATTATTGGGCAGGGACATGGTTGAAGGTGGTGGTGCGAGAGGTCAGGGTATACTACTCATT